AATAAGGCTTATTGTGCGATGGTCACTGCATTTTGTAGCTTTTGTCTTTTTCTTTAAGGCAATCATTGTCACTTCTGTAAAGTCCTTGGGCCACTTCCCAGTTTCATATATGGTGTTTATTAGTTTTGTCAGTGTTTTCAAACGACCTTCTCCCAGTAACTTAAGCACATCTCCAGGTACATCATCATCTGTAGCCTTTCCATTCCTCATGTCCTTGATAGCTTTTTCCACCTCACTTTGTAAAATATATGGTCCTTTCTCCTCTGTATCTAGTTCTTCTTCTGGTTCCACTTCCAAGGTTTCTGGCCGATTGGGTCGATCATATAGTTCTGTAATATAATTTTCCCAAATTTTCAGCACTTACCTCTGATCTACTATTCTATTCCCCTGGGAGTCTTCGATGCGAATATTTTGAATCCGATGCTTCTCTTTCCTTCCTAGTTCTTTTGTCTTCATGTACATCAAATCATAACGTCCTGTCCTTTGAAATTCTATATCTCATTAAATATCTTCTCAAGATATTCCTTTTTGGCCCTGTCCGTGGCTCTTTTCAATTCATTCCTCAGTCTCCTGTAGTTCATCCTGCCTTCTTCATTGTTTACATTCTTCCATTTTCCTTCGCTCTCCATTTTACTCATCATCTCCTGTGTAACCCATGGTTTTCTTTGTTATCTTCTCAACTTTACCAACCAAATCACTGATAGTATCTAACATGCATTCTTTTATATTGTTCCACTGCACTTCAGCATTTTCGCTTTCACTTTCAGTTGCACTGAGTTTCTCTTCTAGGGTCTCCTCCACGCTTTGTCTGTGAGCATATAACTTCTCCAAATCCCATCTAGGTCTGCGCTTTTGGAATCTTATAATTTTCTTCAACCTCGTTCAAAACTTGGCAACCAGTAAGTTGTGGTCAGAGTCAATATCTTCCCTAGGCAGTGTTTTCACATCCTTCACACTGTTTCTGAATCGATGTTTCACAAGGATGTAGTCTAGCTCAGCGATGACCAACTGGCGGCCCGCGGGCCGCATCCGGCCCGCGACTTGATTTGCTCTGGCCCCCTGCCAAGTCTCAGGTTTATTTTCAAAAATCTTAACTTCGCAGCTGTATTGGCATAGAATTCAGTTTTTAATAGTACCTTTCATTAGCTTACAGCATTTTGCAATTGACTGTATACGTTCTTACCGAGTTGGACAGTTCAAACTCTTTCTAATAACTGTGTTCATGACATGGAAATTCCGAGTCCCCCAACCCTACTTATGTAGGGAGATGACACTGAAGGGAAGGCCATAGTAGTGAAGGATTTATGACACCTTCAAAACAGTAACCATTCCCAGCCTGCTTGCGGGAATGGGATGTTTACCGTTTCTCTTGGCATCCTGGCCTTTGTTAAGTGCCAGTTTTAGCAGAAAAGTCTCCCAGTTAGTGCGATTTTAGAAAGTGAAGTGTGATTACGGAGTGTGAGTGTAGAACTGTTTTTCAATTAAAATTGTGTTTGAAGTTATTGTAAGTGATACAGCATGTCAAATAGTAAATTGAGAAAAGTTGATAGTGAAAATAGGGCGTTCAAATCTGAGTGGGAACATGACTATTTTTTTATATTAAATAAAGACCACAAGCCACAGTGTTTAGTATGTTTTCAAGTGCTAGCAGTTTTAAAGGAGTACAACCTAAAGAGGCATTACATGACAAATCATAAACAGAAGTTCGGAAAACACTCTTGTGAATCAAGGAAAGTAGTCTGCGATCAGTTAAAGAAAAAACTTTTCCAGCAGAAATCTGTTTTTACCAATGAAACAAAACAACAAGAAGAAGCTTTGCTGGTTTCTTATTTCGTGACATATGAATTAATGAAAGGTAAAAAAAGCGTTAAGTGATGGTGAAGTAATTGAGAACTGTGCGATAATGATGGCAGAAGCTTTCAATGAAAATAAGGTAGGAAACAAATTTCAAACAATGCCCCTTTCAAAACAGACTGTTACTAGGAGGCTGGAAGATATTAGCAACCAGATATCTAATAATGTGAAAGACATTATCGCTAATTGTTCCTATTTCTTAATTGCTCTCGACTAAAGCATAGATGTTTCGGATACTAATCTGTTACTGATATTTGTTCGTGCAATTAAGGAAGATTTTACAATTTTCGAAGAGTTGTTAAAAGTGTGCTCTTTACACAGCACAACTAGAGGTGTCGATATTTTTAACGCTGTTAAGAGTGCAGTGGAGGAATTCGGTGGTTTTGAAAAATTGTCCTCCGTAGTAACAGACAGGGACAGGGACAGTGACAGGGACAATAAGCGGTTTTGTTGGATTTTTAAGACAGAATCAAATTACTGTATCTACCTTGCATTGTATTATACATCAGAAGGCTCTATGTGCCAGATCAATTAAACTGTCTACCACTATTGCTGCTGTCATAAAAATTACTAATTTGATCAGAGGAGGAAATCGATCACTCACTCAGAAAATTTCTGACCCTCTTGGAAGAAATGGNGACAGCGTTTTCATCGCTGAAGCATGTAAAGTCTAAGAACAGGAACAGACTTTCAGATGTCGTGTTATCACATATTCTTCGAGTGGCAACCTCACAATTAGAAGTGGATTTTATATCATTGGTTTCCAGTTTTATGAAACCACAATGCTCTCATTAAAACAGTGTGTATGTGAGGATTTAGGTATAATCATTATACCATAAAAACTGTGATTGAAAGTCTTTTGTGCTCATCCCTGCTGAAAGAGGAATTTATGCTGTTTTATGGTAAGTAACTGCAAATTTCAAGGCATTTTATTTTTCTTTCCTAAATAATTGCATTTTCCCCCGGCATATGTAAAACTAAACATAAGGCATGATCTGGCCAGTGTTTCTTTCAGAAAAAAATGCTCTGGGGGTAGAAGTGATAGAAGGCAATAAAATCGATTGGTGAAATTTTCAATATTGGCTTAATATTATTGGTGCAACGTAAAATTTACATACATAGGTTTAAATGCACTTGTTTTTACACGGGTTGTTACTGATTCAGTTTGGGGGGCAAAACTCCCCGACCACTCTTCTGAAAGAAACACTGTATCTGGCCCCTGGTGGTGTTCTATAAACTGAATTTGGCCAACGCTGGTCTAGCTGATGCCGCCTCCAATCCCCAGGTGCCTTCCATGTGTAAAGTCTTCTCTTTGGCTTCTTGAACCAAGTGTTGGTAACAATCAGTCCATTTCTTTCACAAAAGTCAATAAGCATTTGACCCTTTTCCAGTTTTATATTCGATTTGAGGTTCTCATGGTAGTGGCTATGAAGAGTACTCTCTTTTGGATGGTGGCACCATGTAGTCTGGTAAACTTCTACCAGACATTTTTGTTTGCTTTTGTTTGGGTTTATTTTTTGAAAATCTGAAAATTTGAAGGAAAGACAGAGATGGAATTTTGCAAGGATACACACAATCTCATAGTGGTATTATTTTCAGCAACTGTTATACTTTCAAATTTGTAAAAATAACCATTACATACTTTATTACGCCTTTTGAAGTTCTTACTATTTGGAATATTTTAAAATACCGATATCCATGTTTTGTACTTAATATTTACTTTGAACCTTCAGAACAAAGGGGATTAAATCCGGAATCTTGATTTGATGATATGTTTCCTATAGACACTTCAATTTGGAACTTCTTTGCTTATTCTCCAATCCCAGTTAAACCAAAATATTGGACATATTATTTATCATCATCTGTATCCATTAACACTAAAATAAAAGGTAAGCAAAAGAGTAGTATGATAAAACAAAGAAAGAAATTTCATTAACTCTTATAAGTGCCAACCTTAATTGCTACATTATTAAAGTGCCCTTTTCAGCTGTCTGAGGTGCTGGTCTTTCATAGGCGAATATTATATGAAAACTATGTCGGAACTTTGAATGTAGTGGGAAAAGTCCTTCTAAATATTTTGTGTGTATATAGTTCATATGAAATTCAATGTTTTTGACACTTGACAATCTTTGTAATGAAATATCAATCTTGCTACATGTGACTCACATGAATTCCATGTAGGTAGTGTTAAAGCAGGGCTTGACAAATCCTGGGCATGAACTCTCACACAACAACTAGAAGTGTTAGCATTTTTCCAAGTACTTTCATAGTATTCATATGTGGTTTTGTTATTTTTAAAATCCCACCTCAACAGTGATTGCACCACAGAACTGCCTTCTTTTGACGGTGAACAATGTGAACATCAAAATCTTCGTTTAGCAGTCATTTGCAATCTTATATATTAAGGTGGGGTGGGAATTTCAGTTGCACTGTTATTAAGGGGCACAGCATTTGACTTATCTGCTGACTAGAAGGTACAGACCAATCCGCATCTGTGTTACCCAGTGAATGTACAGGGAGTGGGCTCAAATGACAAATAATATTGTGGCTTGTATGTGTGTTCATTACCCATAACACTGTTTTAAAGTATTAGTTTCTTCTGTGTTGATTTATGTTTAAAATATTTGGTTTGTTCATTATGGGTGTAATATTTGTTAGCGGATGCAGCAAAAATGAAACTTACATTAGCAGCTGAGAGACAAGAGAACTTAAAACAAAAGGGTGTGATAAATTTCTGTACTATTTCATTAGAAGGAAGCAATGAACAGTCTTTGCTAGAAAGTGAAATCAAGTGGCTTAATGTAAATAATGCATCAAAAAATAAAAGTTAAGTGTAATTATTCAAAGCATTGGCAGAAATCTCTCATTCAGTAGTCCAGCTTCAAACAGCAGGGAGGAAGAAAGTCTAGAATGATTGGTGTGAGGAAAATTGTGTTGCTTGCACTTAATCATACAGTAGGTATTTTAAGTTGTTAGGTATGTGATCTCTTTCCCAGTACTGGAGATCAAAATTCTAAGGTAATGAAAGGTTTTCCTCTGCCTTTCAAACTGAAGACATTTAAAAGGCCTGAAAAATCATTCCAACACCAGAAATGTATGAAAGCTGATAATGCTCTATTGGCTCCAGAGGGCATTCTCTTGGATATATATATATATGAAATGGGAATGGGTTCAAACTGTCTGGCCATTTTAATGGCCCTTATTATAGGGCAAAGAACAATAAGCAATCTTCTGACTATGAAAGGTTGATGAAGTTGACTGGAAAATTGGGGTTGAAGTATGAGATAAGTGTAAAAGTGAGAAAGAAAATTCAGTTCCATGGTCTTATGTATTGCAGAAGTAATGTTAAGTGAACTTGTTTGAGAACCTGAAAATGCTAAGTATGTGAGTTTGATGTTAAGATGGATCTACTATCAAAGAAGGTAGTGTAGTTGATTCTATATATAAGATACATAAAGAGTGATGGAGTGAGAGAAGCGTCTGTGTTAGATTTACATCTTGATAGTGAACCGCAGAAGGCTACTTTGATGCCAGTGTAAAAGAATTGGGAGAAGCTTGAAATTTTGGACTGGCTGTTTTCCTGTCAGCTGATTGGTATTAATACTGAGGGTGTAGCCAGTAAGAAACAATGTATGGACTGATACCAAAAACTGCAGAATATATGCCACATAATTAGTGTTCATTGTGTTGTGCATCAGTTAAATTAAGGTCATTAAGGATTTGATTCAATTCTGAAGAAACTGCATTCATTCTATTAGTACTCTCCAGAGAACTGAGTCACATACATGGAAGTCCTCTAAACTATATACTGAACTTACACTGTCTATACAGTGTAATGTAGGTGGCCAGCAAAGGAAGTGCTGCCTCTGCACCTTTGAAGTTTGGAAATGAGTCAACAGTATGATTTGAAAGTAATCCTGAAAGGAATGTATGAGAATGAACATCTGCATGGTTTGAATAGTACTGCAAGGTCTCCTGTTGAATCAGAAAGGAAACTTGGCGCTACATACAGTCAGATGCTTAGAAGAACAGTTTTTAAATTGGAAACACATTGAATGGTTAACTGCAGTTTTTGTCACTTCTGTCTGGTCAGCAGACTGCAGCATAGCTCATTTCTAGAAACACTTTTCACCACCAAAGAGGAATGGTGACTCTGCTATCTCTGTATAATGACTAGTATCAGTTTAAGTCATGGGAAAGGGGGAGAACTGAGTGGGCTTCTTGAATCAGAACTTGTTACTGATGGAAGATGCCCAGTTTTGTAGCAGTTGTTCATAGTGTTTGTGCTGCCTTTCTCCACTGAGTGTTGTCACAGGGGATGTAGTTTCACGAATCTTGTTAAAAATAAATTCATTCTTCAGATATACCCCAATAGTGCTGAAATTTGAGCCTTCAAAGACTTTTGACCCATGATACTTTGGTCCCTAAACTACAGTACACATGCATGGCACAAGTAGTCAGATGAGTAATTGTGGAATTGTATAGTTCATCTGTTAGTTCATATCCACATATTTTTTCCTGTAACATATTTGTGAATGAATTTTTTGTCATTGTAGATACATTGAAAGATGTTAATTTATTCCATTCATTGTTGCCACACTCAGTTCTTTTTGTTAGTTTAAATATAAAACTCCTGACAAAAAAAAGTTTGTAAATTTTTGGATTGACTTCTAGTCCAAAGAGACATTTGTCAAACTCTGTGTTAACCCCTTGAGCGTGACTTTAAGCGGAGCCATTTAAATTCCTAAGCCTGTGCGACGCAACACCTGCGTCCACTCAAACCCCTGCTGTAAGCGTGCGCGCCGCATATGTTGCGTCCAAACTTTTCACTAAGAATTCTTAACACCTACGCTCTGATGTATGTACTTCCAGTGAATGTATATGTGAGCTAAAATTTACTTCTTTCATTCCTCGCCATCTGTTTGTGTGTGGTATTTTTTTCACTCACTTTGCTTGGGACAAAGCATGTGGTGTCTGCTGCTTATGAAAGAATTGTTCCCACTCACACTCCTACTTGCTTTCAGAGGGATAATTGTTAGCTAACTTTCATTGAGTGCTTGTTATCAGTGTTTATGTGTCTGTATTTTTTTACTGGCTTGGCTTACTGGCGACAAAGCAGCTGTGTCTGATTTACGATGTTACGAACCTAGGGGTCGAAGTAGCCTGACGCCTGTGTCAACATTTATGAATTTGTTATTTCTTTTCTGCCTTGCGACACACTCTTATCGGAGTCCTAGGCATTTGGTCACGTAACTTGTCTGGTGGGACAGTTTCTTGGCCCTGACGCAAATGAAACCACGCTTTCAAAAGTGGGTTCCCACAACTACGAATTAAATTAGGGTATTCCTAGGTTTGCTTATGCTGATGGGAATTCAGAAACCAAACCTCAGAATGTATTTTAGTAGGAAACAAGGGAAAAATGTGGTACAAAAAATTATTCAACCACTTAGTAAATACGGCAGTGTTGAATGGTTACATTCTGTACTGCAAGGCTGGTAACAAGGAAGATCATCTGTTATTCAGAATAAACTTAGTGAATAAGATCATAGCAAAGTCCCATGGACAGAATTTAGAAAAGCGCAAAGGGCGTTTTTCAGATAGCGCCGTGGAATGTACGAGATTCACGGGTCAGCATTTCATTCAACAAAATCCCAAAACCGGAACTTATAAAGTTGGAAGAAGAAGGTGTGTGATGTGTAGAAAAAACAGAAAGAGAAAAGAAACCAGATACAGGTGTAAAAACTGCCCAGGGACACCGTCTCTCTGCCTAGACCCCTGTTTTGAGCAGTACCACACCAAGGTCAACTACTAGACTCTGGATATGGAGAGCTGGGAAAAAGAAATAGCTTGACAAAATGTAAGTACACATTTATAATAATGAACCGTAAACAATTGTAAATATAATATATATTTTTTTAATTTTTCAAATAGCGATTTCGTTATTTAAAAATATTTAGGTAAATGTCTGCACAAAACCTTCAATGCTTGCGAAATTAAGCACCGGGAGGGATTTAAATACCCCCGCTTAAATTCACGCTAGATGCATGTAACTAAGGGGACACATATGGTGCGTCGCACATGCTTGAGGGGTTAAAACCCCCAGGTAAATTCACGCTAGATGCATGTAACTGAGCGGACAGATATGGTGCGTCGCACATGCTTGAGTGGTTAATAATCTCGTGTGCAGTATGTACAGTGATTTGCAAAAAATGTGTTTTAGTGGTTATGTGGATATAGAGTGAGATAGATTTTATGAGTGGATATTTGGTATGACAGAAATGAGTGTGGTATTTTGGTATGTAGACTCTGAATATTACACGTGTGAGTAGGTTATTAGTCAGAACGATATACTTTTTTCTTGCATTAGTATAAGTACTTGTAAAATGAGGGTGCAAAGTGAATTTCTTGTTCCCATTGAAGAAGTTATTTTTTAATTTATACCTTAGTCAAATATAAAGTAATGCCACTTCACTCTTACCCACACACGCAAACAAGAGCCATTTCAGTCAGAAAAGAATTTCCCACACAGTTCTTCACTGAAATATAATTATTTTCAGATACAGGGCAGAATGAACTCTGATCATCTTCTGACAACTAGTTCCACACAGACCTCTGATACCAAGTGCACTGATGATGTTAGTCTTAAGGGCATCTACAAACTGTCCCACAGTTGGATTTTTGTTCAAACCATACTACGAACGAATAACTTCAAATGTGTTCACAAGGTGATCATCAAACAGCTGTTGCCAGGTATTCACCACACCACCCTGAAAGAACATTAAAAAGGAAATTAGTGGGCTTCCTTACATGATGGACTTGTTCAGATTTGAAAATAACGCATTTTACTTTAAAGGGACTGCCATTATAAAGATTTTGTATATTTGATTAAATTATTCCTCATAGCAAAGTCTTTACCAACTTATTCTCTTATAAATCATATTACTGACAGTGTGATCTGCTTTTCAAACATTTAACATATCCTACATAACTTGTGTACTGATAAGATTATATTGTAGCATCCTGTTGCATTCTTCCATTTTATTATAAATCTTATTTTACAGTCTTATGTGAAACTATTTATTAACTTTAAGTTTAAAATTTAAAACTTAAAAAGTTGCACATGACAGTAAAATAAGATTTATAATAAAATTGTATATTGATGTAGTTTCATAAGTAATGAATGATGATGACAATGACATTCTCGCTAGCCACCTGTAGCCAATACAGTGTTGTGGCTTGCTGCAATGATTGATATGCCTGAGTTCCACATCAGAAGTATTTATATTTACAGGGCTTATGAGAAATGAGGTTTCTTTCACTGCAAACGTTGGTGGCTACTTGGTAATGGTTGCACTGCAAACATTTTAAAGGATTAAGCAA